CCACGCCTGGCTAATTTTTTTTTTTTTTTTTTTTTTAGTAGAGACGGAGTTTCTCCATGTTGGTCAGGCTGATCTCGAACTCCTGACCTCAGGTGATCTGCCCGCCTCTGCCTCCCAAAATGCTGGGATTACAGGCGTGAGCCACCGCGCCCAGCCAGCTTTTTCTACCATTATTTCAAATGACTTCCCATGACCCCCTGGAAAGGAACCCATTTTGCAGATGAAGACATTGAGATTTTTGTGAGGCTAATAACTTGCTTGAGGTGATGCAGTCAGTTGAGTTGGAATGATATTCATTTTCATATTGACTGAGGTACAGCTATGCCTCAGACACTGTTCTAGGTTCTGGGAGATAGCGGTGAGCATGGCGGACAAAACCCTGCCCTCAGGGAGTCCCCATTCCAGGGCAGGGGAGACAGATGATAGACAAGATAAATGAGTTCTGTGGTCGACTAGAAGAGAAAAGACTTATCGAGAAAATTTAAAATCCGCTCTAGAATTGGTTGGCAAAAGCAGGGAGTGGCTGGCGGTGCCAATTTAAGAAGGTTAACCAGAAAGAAAGGCTCAGTGAGGAAGTGACATTTGAACAAAGGAGACGAAGGGACAGACCCTCTTGCTGTCTGGGAAGGAGCACACCAGGCCCAGGGAACAGCAAGTATAAAGGCCCTGAGGTGGCATGTTTGGGGAACAGCAGGGACCAGTGTGGCTGGGGCAGAGCAAGGTGGGGAGGACAGGGAGGAGTGGTCTGGGAGGCTGGGATGGAAATGGGTACAGATAACATAGGGCCTGGAAGGGCCCAGCGAGGACCTGGCTTTGGCTCTGAGCAAAACGGGAGCCATTGCTGGCCTTGAACAGCGACAGGCTCCACTGTGACTTATGTTTTTAAAAGACCTTTTTTTAGGAGGATCTTTTCTGTGTTTGATATCTTTTTGAGACAGGGTCTCATTCTGTTGCCTAGGCTGGAGTGCAGTGGCTCGATCATAGCTTGTGGCAGCCTCGAACTTTTAGGATAATCTGATTGCTGTTCCGTGTCGCATTTTAGTGCCTCCTCTGAGTGTCCTTTGCCTCCCACCCGGAGATCCAAGCTCCGACCCTCACTCCCAAGGGGCTGTTTGGAAGGAAACGGAGACTTGAGAACCAGGGATACCCTGTGTTGCCCCTGCCACAGACCTGGTGCCAGGCACTGAAAACAGGCCAGGATACTCCCCCACCCCCCACCCCATTTCCTTTTGGAATGTTGATTCTGGTCCAAGAATTCCCAACTCTCCCCAGAGTCCCACGACCCTCTCGGCCCTGCAGGGTGACGTCAGCTGCCGGGCATCTGGTAGCGATTACCCACCAGGGGAGGGGGTCGTGGTGGGCCCCGTCTGTGCAGCCTCTTCAGGCTCTGGGAGGCTGGTCCTTGTCTTCCGAAGGGGCCCAGCTGCTCCTGGCTCTCATTTCCTGTGGAGACTTTCTCACAGTCCTTGAGACCCCCGGATGCCTTGGGCTGTGGGAACTGGGCTGGTTTGGGAAGGATGGGCTGTTCCCCCGATCCCTAGCTGGATCCACATCCCCCCAAACCCTCAGGGGACCCTGTTGCAGGCTGCTGGACCTGTGTGGGGTGAGGGCTGGGGAGGATAGGGGTCAGGTACAGCAGTAGCTCAGAGGCCTACTGACTGTGTGACTTTGAGCAAGTCCCTTTTCCTCTCTGAGCCTTAGTTTCCCCATCAGTAAATTGGGGACAATGACAGCAGCTGCTTCATAGAGTCACTGTGAGGATGGGATATGTCAGGTAAAGCATTTATTCTGGGCTTGGCCCAAGTAAGTACCAGTAAACAGGAGCTACTCATGCTGTAGAAGGGGAAACTGAGGCCCGATGAGAGGGACTTGCCCAGAGCCACGCCACTTCCTACCTCTCAGCTGAGGGCCCGCTCAGGCTCCACCCCATTTCCTCTTCCTGACATTGGTTCTGGGCTCTGGTTGAAATGTTATTTTTTTGTTTGTCTGTTTCTTTGCCTTCCCTCTCTAGCTTCTCCTCCTCTCCACCCAGAAATGGCTCCCAGTATCTGGGAGGGGGGGGTCCACCCATGTAAGGAACAGAGCAGAGAATTAGACATCAGGCCAACTGGTTCTAGTCTGAGCAGCTGCATGCCCTGGGTCAAGTTACAAACTTCAGTTTTCTCCGCTGTAAAATGGGGCTTCGAGATCACAGGCATTCCATCAGCCGCCAGCGCTCAGTAGATGCCTTTTGTTTTCACTCTCTTCTTTGGCAGGTTTTGAGACTCGGGTGGCAGCTCTCAGGGCCCAGCATCCTCAGCTCTGCCCTGGGAAGAATGGCCTTCTCCTCACAGAGCTGTCGCCCGTCCTGAGCTCCTGCTGGACACCCCAGCCTGCTCAGGAAGACTGAGGGCTCCAGACGGTGGAGAGGGAGCAGGATGTGCTGGACACAATAGTGGCCCATCTTGGGGAGTGGGGCAGGACTAAAGCCAAGAATCATCCCGGCAGGGAATCCCACAGGCCCCATGGCTGGTATCCTGGGCGAGATGGGGCTTTCCACCCAGCTCTCTTTGCCCAGGGCCTTTAAGGACTGAGAAGCTCAGAGCGGGCAGGTGCCTGTTGCTTCTCTGCAGTGGGTGAGTGAAGATGGGCATGAAGGAAGGAGTGAAGATGGGCGTGAAGGAAGGAAAGAGGCTGGGCACAGGGCTCACGCCTGTAACCCCAGCACTTTGGGAGGCCAAGGCAGGTGGATCACCTGAGGTCAGGAGTTCAAGACGAGCCTGGCCAACGTGGTGAAACCCCATCTCTACTAAAAATACAAAAACTGGGCTGGGCGCGGTGGCTCAAGCCTGTAATCCCAGCACTTTGGGAGGCCGAGACGGGCGGATCACGAGGTCAGGAGATCGAGACCATCCTGGCTAACACGGTGAAACCCCGTCTCTATTAAGAAATGCAAAAAACTAGCCGGGCGAGGTGGCGGGCGCCTGTAGTCCCAGCTACTCCGGAGGCTGAGGCCGGAGAATGGCGTGAACCCGGGAGGCGGAGCTTGCAGTGAGCTGAGATCCCGCCACTGCACTCCAGCCTGGGCGACAGAGCGAGACTCCGTCTCAAAAAAAAAAAAAAAAAAAATTAAAAAAAGTGGGGGGGCATGGGGGCACCCACTTGTAGTCTCAGCTACTTAGGAGGCTGAGGCAAGAGAATCACTTGAACCCGGGAGGCAGAAGTTGCAGTGAGCCGAGATCATGACACTGCACTCCTGGGCAACAAAGCAAGACTCCATCTCAAAAAAAAAAAAAAAAAAGGGAGGAAAGCAACTTCAGCCCAGCCCCCCAGGAGGGGCAGGGTGGGAGGGTGGTCCATCTTCATGGGTAGAGGCTGGGACAGCAAGAGGAGCCCCACATGGGCCAGGGAACTTGCACCCCTCCTTCTCACGCCCTTCTGGGGAGGTAGTTATACTGTGCCCACTTTACAGATGAGGAAGTTGAGCTTCAGAGAGGGAAGGCAGGGAGCCAGGGATCGGGGGCAGGGGAAAAGCTGAGAGGCAGGTGGCAGAGCTTGGGGAGGTCTCCACTTGAGGACATATGTCCAGGCCTCAAGGCCCAAGGGAACAGACAGGGACAGAGAGCAGACAGGCCTCTGCAGAGGACCAGGCCACCATCATGAAAGAGGGCCAGGGTGGGGCAGGACGGCAGCCTCTCCCCACCCCTTTTCCTACAGGGCCTCTGGGGAAACGTCACCCTTCCTTCTGGCCCAGGATGAAGGCCCTGAAGGTAAAGCTTAGATTTAAACATGCATTGGGGGAAAAGAAGGATAATGGGCTTTAATTACTGCTCATTAATCCAATTAATTAAGCTAATGTATGCAGTAAGTGGTATCAGTTATCAGAACAAATCAGTTAATACAGGCAGTGAAAGGGGTTGGTTATTTAAATAATTAAAGCTGATGATTAATGGGACTGATTTAGCTCAATTGTCACTATTATTTATTAATTGATTTCACCACTAATACGGCAGGAGAAGTCTCTTTTAGGTTTGTAAAATGAGGAATAAAGGAATTAATTAGTGGAGCTGAGTTTTACAAATGGATGCTTTGATTCCTGGATTTGATCATTACAATGGGAGGGAGAGTTTTCTAGAAATCCCCAAGCAAACTGAACTCTGAAGGCTGCGTAGGAATGACCAACCCTAGCCAAAAGGGAGGACATTCCAGGCAGAGGGAACAGCACGTACAAAGGCCCTGAGGCTGCAGGGGGTCGAGCTCTTTGGAGGAAGTTTGAGAAGGCCAGAGTGCAAGGAAGGGAGAAGAGAGAGAAGGGATTTGACCAGCAGAGGCTGAGTCACAGATGGCCCAGCCAGGAGGACTAGACTTTGTCCTCAGGGCTGCAGGGGGCTGCTGTGACACTCATTTACTCATTCATTCATTCATTCATTCAAAAAAATATATTTACTAAGTTCCTGATGGTTCCTAACATTGTCTAGACAGAAACATAAACCCTTGTCCTCGTGGGGCTGACATTGTAGTGAGAGGAGCTAGTCATTACATGAGAGGAAATGTGTGCTAAGTCAGATGAGGGGTCAGGGCAAAATTAAGCAGGGAAGGGAATGTGGGAGTTGGGGAAGATCACACTTTCAGAAAGGGTGGCCAGAAGGCCTTGCTGAGAAGGGGACATTTTAGTGAAGAACTGAAGGAGGGGCTGGGTGTGGTCGCTCACACCTGTAATCCCAACACTTTGGGAGGCTGACATGGGAGGATCGCTCCAGCCAGGAGGTCGAGGCTATGGTGGCCATGATCTCACCACTGCATCCCAGCCTAAACGATAGAGCGAGACTCTGTCTCAAAAAAAAAAAAAGAAGAAGAACTGAAGGGCCAGGCATGGTGGCTCATGCCTGTAATCCCAGCACTTTTTGGGAGGCTGAGGCAGGCAGGTCACCTGAGATCAGGAGTTCAAGACCAACCTGGCCAACATGGCGAAACCCCGTCTCTGCTAAAAATACAAAAAATTAGCCCGGTGTGGTGGTGGTCACCTATAATCCCACCTGCTTGGGAGGCTGAGGCAGGAGAATTGCTTGGACACGGGAGGCGGAGGTTGCAGTCAGCCAAGATCGCGCCACTGCACTCTAGCCTGGGCGATGGAGTGAGACTCCGTCTCAACAACAACAACAACAGCCAAGAGCATGAGGGAGGGAACCCAGGGGATGTCTGGAGGAAAATATTCCAGGCAGCGGGAATAGGAAGTGCAAAGACCCTGAGGTGGGGCGGGGGAGATGGAGCAGCGCGGGTGAGAAGGAATGTCGTGGGCCATGAGGTCAGTGTGCAAGGCTGTTTCCAAGACCTTGGCTCTTACTGTAAGTGAAGCTGGGGGCCACGCAAGTGGGTTGGAGCAGAGGAAAGCTGTGATCTGACTTGCATTTGAACAGTACTGCTGTGGCTGCTGTGCGGGGAGAATAGGTCGCAGGGACACAGATGGAGGCAGGGAGGCCAGGGGGAGGTGGTGGTGATAGTCCAGGCAAATGATGGTAGCAGATCGTAACTGGGCATGGTCATTGTGTCTTGGACATGTCAGAGTGTTGTAGCGCCACCCTATGGTGAGGCCATGGGCTGGAAGAGTGGCCCCAGAGCCTCAGCTTCCCTGACCTGGGCCTCTGCCCTGAGCACCCCTATAGGCTCTGGCCACCCTAGTCAGGCCTGATCTCTTGTGCAGGCACCCTGTCTCCAAGGCTCTACCCCTGTTCCAGAGCGCGAGGGGAAGTACAGGAAGCAGGAGGAAGCGCTGGGTTGATCCAGTGTCCTGGCCAATTTGTTCCCAGCAGTGGGAGGATTTCCGGGCCTGAATAGCAGGAAATGTTGGGATGGGACGCCTCACCCGGGAAGAGTGGGCGGAGGTGGATGGGGGAGGGGTCCCTACTGTAGCTCACTCCACTGCTGCTGGACAGAGAGAGCCCAAAAGCCTACTGTTGCTGGGCTGTAGCTTGAGGAACTGTGGTTGGATACCAGCTAGGGCTTTCTAGGAGAGAAGATTAGCGATGAAGAATCCTAGAATGTTAGAACAGGGAGGGCTATCAGACAACGTCTCAAGGAGGAGGAGCTTTTGGCCTTAGGATTGGGGGAACCCACAATTTTATTTTTTATCTCGGCTTCCTTTTTTTTTAAAATATGAAGCTCCTGTATTTGAGGAGGTGGTCCAATATTTGACCTCCCCTCCCCATTTTGCAGATGGGAAGGCTGAGGCCTTTCTTAGCCAGAGAACCTGGGCCCAACCTAACAAAATTAATGATGACAGCGATTAACAATTAACATTGACTGTTTACTATTCATGCATCCCTTTAAGCAATATTGCTTTCTTTCAACCTCTTCTTCTTGGGTTCAAGTGATTCTCTTGCCTCAGCGTCCCAAGTAACCGGGATTACAGGCGTTCGCTGCCACACCCGGCTAATTTTTCTTTAAGCAATATTTCTTGAGCTCCTGCAGGCACTATGTTGGGGACTGGGTCTCAATGGTGAATTAGACAAAGTCAACACTTTTTTCATAAGGGCATCAGATAATTAAGTCAGCAATTAAATATAAAGTGGCCATTTCAGGCAGAAATTGCAAAAATTGAAAATAAAGTAGGATTGGGAACACAGAGTGAAGGAACGAGGGACTATTCGAGGTGGGGAGGTCAGGGAAGGCTTCTCCAAAGAGGTGACATTAAGCAAAGCCCTGAATAAAGAGGGAGGAGGGACAAGCTTCATGAAGCCCTTGGGGAAGAGCATTCCACGCAGAGGGAACAGCAAGAGCGAAGGCCCTGTGGCCGGAACAAGTTGCCAAGGAGGGTGGGGCAGAGGCAGAATAAGGGACAGGAGGTGCAAGGGAGACAGGCTGGAGAGGTGGTGGGGTGGCTATTTGGTACCAGCAGGCCACACAGGACCTTGTGGGTTAGGGAACAGATGAGCCAATTTTTGCCTGTTTTTCTGGCATAATCATGGTACCCTCTCTACTCTTGCAAAGGAAGAAAAGTTCTGGTTTGGATGATAAATTGCACGGCCGCAGAGAGGAGTTTAGATTGTGTTCTTCTAGAGATGGGAGCCGCTGAAAGGCTGAGGATGGTGTGTGTGCCATGATCTGCTTAGGTTGTAAGCTTGGGCGCCTTCTGGTCTCAGGGCAGAAGCTGACTGTGGGTGATGAGAGTGGACACGGAGCCCGAGGGAAGGCTCTTCTGCTCCACCGGAGACACGAGGGTGGCCCCACTGTGGGGACGGGGTGGACATGCGGAGAAGATTCTGACGGTGGAGTGGCAGGATTTCCTGGTGGACTGGGTGTGGAGCTGAATGGAAGAGAAGGGGCACAAAGGACCATATGGTTTTTGGCCAAAGTGGCAGGAAAGAGGAAACTGACATCAGCTGAGCCGGGGAAGATGGGGAGGGGGCAGGGAGGAGCCACAGTTCTGCTTTGGATACAACAAGTTGGAGATAGCCTTCAGATATCCAAGGGGAGGCGTCCAGGAGGTAGTTGGGTTTCCAAGTCTGGGGATGGAGGGGCAGGTCCAGGCTGCCTGAGGGTAGGGGTAGCATTTAAGGCAGTGCAGTGGGGGCAGTGGTTCATGGTGGCCCTCAGGAAGAAGGAAGGAAAAATAGCCGCCTCTGGCCTCTCCAGGCTCTCCACCCTGGGGGCGGAGTCAATTCCTTAGCCCTCTGGCATCGGCAGTGGCTCCGCAGTGTGCTTGGCAGTGGCCATGACTAGGTCACTCTACCCTAGGAAGTGAGTGCAGGGTAGGAGGACAGGGGCTGATCCCCAGCCTGGGGCCCTCCAGGGTTTAGAGTCAGGGATGATGGGGTTGGGGTGGGAGGAGGGGATGGGGAGGGCAGAGAGAAGAAGAAAACCAGGGAAGCATAGTGTCCGTAGTCCAGTGAAGACAGTGGTTCGGGAAGCAGGCTCCATAATAAGCAGGTTAACATTCATTAAGCCCTGAGTCCTCCAGTCAAAGTCATTAGGCAGAGACTGTCATTATTCCTGATTTACAGATACGAAATGCAGGCTCAGAGAGGTGAAGGGACTTGCCTAGGGGTGCACAGCTGGAAAGTGGAGGAGCCAGGCCAGCTGATAAGTGCCCCCTCCTGCCTTCAGGGTGAGCCTGCTGGGGTCCCAAGGGCTAGGTGCTGGCCCCAGGCAGGCAGGCAGGCAAGAGACTGGCATCTGGGGAGCCAAGCAGGGCTGGGGATGCTCACTTGTCTCCTCTCCTTCCAGGGCTGCTGGAGAGCCGGAGGCTGGCGGCGACTATGTGAAGGTAGGAGGGGCTGGACCAGGGGTTGGTCAGAGGACACTGAAGGTCTCAGAGCCTGTTCCATTACGGGTGGGCAGAGCCCTTCCTCAAGCCTTGTTAGGAGCCAGACCTCACTGTGTATTCCCCGGGAGGGGAGGTTCTCGGAGTCGAGGCAGCATTTGGATCCAGTTTCATTCTCCGCACCTTCTTCCTACACCAGCCATTATTCTCTCCTGGCCCCAAACTCAGGGCATCCCAGTATTTGATATCATCTGACCCCACCCACTTGCCAGCTGGATGGGTCCCCAACAGTGTCTCTGTGTAAAGGATGCAGCCTTCCAATCCCACCCAATCTTTGTGCACCTACTGTGTGCTGTCTCTGGGAGCAGAGAGCAGGAGAGGATGACTCAGTTCTTTATCACAGATAATGGGCACAGCTCAGATTTATCCAAAGCTTAATTTATCCTGGGCACTGGGAACACTGAAATGCAGTTTTGGCAGAGCACGGTGGCTCATGCTTGTAATCCCAGCACTTTGGGAGGCCAAGGCGGGTGGATCACCTGAGGTCAGGAGCTCAGGACCAGTCTGGCCAACATGATGAAACCCTTTGTCTACTAAAAATATAAAAAATTAGCCAGATATGGTGGTGCGTGCCTGTAATCCCAGCTACTCAGGAAACTGAGGCAGGAGAATTGCTTGAACCCAGGAGGCAGAGGTTGTAGTGAGCTGAGATTGCGCCACTGCACCCCAGCCTGGGAAAAAAAAAGCAAATGCAGCTTTGAAATAACAATGATAGTAATAATCATAATCATAAATAACATATTGAGTGCCTACTGTGTGCAGACCCTGTGCTGGCTGCTAGACACTGGAGGAGAGGCATTCTTTACATGAGAGATCTTTGATTCTCTCCCTCATCACTGGGTAGGGAGAGCCTTCTTGTGCCCATTTACGGATGGGAAACTTGAGGTCCAGAGAAGTGCAGTGACTTGCCCTGGGTCACATTACTTTTTTTTTCTTTTTTTTTTTTCTACTGTAAGTTCTGGGGTAACATGTTCATGTGCAGAACATGCAGGTTTGTTACATAGGTATACACGTGCCATGGTGGTTGGCTGCACCCATCAAGCCATGATCTACATTAGGTATTTTTCTTAATGCTCTCCCTCCCCTAGCCCCCTACCCCGCATACTTTTAATGGTGAAAACCACAGTTACTTTTACACCAACCTGATATTATGAGGAAGAACTGGGATTACACCCCGAGTTTGATGCCAGGACTATAGCCAAAGCCCTTGGCCTTCTACCCCCAGGAGCCCCTACCCTGAGCAAGGCCCTGTGCCGAGTACTGAGAATAGGCAGAGGGCAAGGAGCACCAGGCCCTGAATTCAAAGGGCTCCTGTCCAAGTGGGACCCACGGAAGAATCATACGGTGCTTTGCGCTTGTTTTTTGCAATCCATCAGATCCAACTTTTATTTTTATTATTATTTTTTAAGAGATGGGATCTCTCTCTGTCTCTCACTGCAGCCTTGTGCTTCTGGGCTCAAGCAATCCTCCCACCTTAGCCTCCTAAGTCCCTAGGACTACATGTGTGTGCCACTGCTAATTTAAAGAGATGGAGTCTCACTCTGTTGCCCAGGCTGGAACACGGTGGCGCGATCTCGGCTCACTGCAAGCTCTACCTCCCAGGTTCACACCATTCTCCTGCCTCAGCCTCCCGAGTAGCTGGGACTACAGGCACCCGCCACCACACCCAGCTAATTTTTTGTATTTTTAGTAGAGATGGAGTTTCACTGTGTTAGCCAGGATGGTCTCGATCTCCTGACCTCATGATCTGCCTGCCTTGGCCTCCCAAAGTGCTGGGATTACAGGTGTGAGCCACCACACCCGGCCAAAAAAAAAAATTTTTTTTTTAAAGATGGGGTCTCACTATGTTGCCCTGGCTGGTCTCAAATGCCTGGCCTCAAGTGATCCTCCTGCCTCGGTCTCCCAAAGTGCTGGGAATACAAGCATGAGTGACTACGCCTAGCAGATCCAAATTTTAGTCCCGTCAAAGCATGATGGGCCAGGTGCAGTGGCTCAGGCTAGGCACAGTGGCTCATGCCTGTAATCCCAGCACTTTGGGAGGCCGAGGCGGGCAGATCACCTGAGGTCAGCAGTTTGAGACCAGGCTGGCCAACATGGCGAAATCCCGTCTCTACTAGAAATACAAAAATTAGCCAGACGTGGTGGCACATGCCTATAATCCCAGCTACCGGGGAGGCTGAGGCAGGAGACTTCCTTGAACCCAGGAAGCAGAGGTTGCAGTGAGTCGAGATAGCACCACTGTACTCTAGCCTGGGCGACCGAGCAAGACTCCATCTCAAAAAAGAAAAAAAAAAAAAAGCATGATGTAGGCTGATATAAAAAACCCCACAAAACTAAAAAACAAATTTTAGTCTGAGATCTGCCACTTACTTGCCACTGGCTTTGGGTGTGGCATCGCCTCCCTGAGCCTGTGTTTGACTATGTGAAATGGTAACAAGGGTGCCTCCAACCCAGGGTTGCTATGGCTTCAGTGAGTCCATGACCGTGAGTGGGGGACCTGGGCCTGGAACAGCGTGGGCTGGCCTAGCTCCTCACCGCAGGGACATTTCATCACCCTGAGATACTACCTGCACAACTCTATGTAAGTGACTAGTAATGGAGCAGCGTGGGAAGTCCTCAAGCTTGCTGCCCCCTCACCATCACCAGAAGCTGTGGGAGCTCCAGACGTGGGGGATGACTTTCAGCTGGGGAGCTGGAGATCAAGGAAAGCTTTCTGGAGGAGGAGGCATTGGAGCCAGGCCATTGCAGTTGACTGGGAACATTCACTGAGATCTCTCCATGAGTGAAATGCTAGAAAGGAGACGAAGTTAAGCAGAGATGGGTAGGAGAGTTGTCCCGGCAGAGACAGGAGTGTGGACAAAGTCAGAAAGTAAACTGCGTGAGCCCAGAAACAGAGTCTAGGGTAGGAGCAAGTCTAGCAGAAGTTCCAGAACCCTTATGCCACTGTGGGAGGGAGGACCTGGGGAAAACTAACACCAAAGGCAATGGTTGGAATGCAGGGGGCATATTTCAGCATCCCGCAGACCCCAGCTGCCTGTAAGGTGGTGAGATCCCTGTGAAGAATGTTAGCTTTATATTTTTTCCTATAGTTTATTTTTAGGGGTTAAAAATGTAGGGTTTTTTTTTGTTTGTTTGTTTTAAACATTGTAAAATAAGTAATATCTGCTCAGTAGAACTGATTAAACAGTCTCCCAAAGGACAAAGTCAAAGGAATGTTAATTTTAGTTTCAAGACTCAGATGAGGTTCTGGGCGCAGTGGCTCATGCCTGTAATCCCAGCAATTGGGAGGCCGAGGTGGGAGGGTCATTTAAGGCCAGGAGTTCGAGAGGCGCAAGTGGCTCATGCCTGTAATCCCAGCAATTGGGAGGCCGGGTGGGAGGGTCATTTAAGGCCAGGAGTTCGAGCACCAGCCTGGGCAACTAGCAGATCCTGTCTCTACAAAAAATATATAAAAATAGCTGGGAAAGGCCGGGTGAGGTGGCTTACACCTGTAATCCCAGCACTTTGGGGGACTTGGGCCTTGGAATTGGAGGCCAAGGCCGGCGAATCAGCTTGAGGCCACGAGTTTGAGACCAGCCTAGCCAAGATACGTGAAACACCCCGCTACTAAGAAATACAAAAATATGAACCCGGGCGACCGTGCTCACACGCCCTGATAATCCACGCAGCACTTTTGGGCGGGCGCGAGGCGGCGGTGGGATCATGAGGTCAGGAGATTCCGAGACCATCCTGGCCTACACACGGTGAAACCCCATCTCTACTAAAAAAGATATAAAAAAGATATCCAGGTGGCACTATGTAATCCCCAGCTACTCAGGGAATGAGGCGCAGAATTGCTTGAATCTGGGAATTGGGAGTGTGCAGTGAGCTGAATCTCTGCCACTGCACTCCAGTCTGGCAATGGAGTGAGATTCCATCTCAAAAATAATATAATAATAATAATAATAATAATAAATTAATAAATAATAGTGGCCAAGAAGCGCAGTGGCTCCACGCCTTGTAATCCCAGCAACTTAATATGGGAGGCCGAGGCGGGGCCCAGGATCACAAGGTCAGGAGAACGAGAACCATCCTGGTGAACACGGATGAAACCCCATCTCTACTAAAAATTACAAAAAAAATTAGCCATAGCATGGTGGTGGGACAACCTGAGTC